CCTCCAGAAGTAGTGATGGGAGACTCATCCTCCAGAAGTAGTGATGGGAGACTCATCCTCCAGAAGTACTGATGGGAGACCCATCCTCCAGAAGTACTGATGGGAGACCCATCCTCCAGAAGTACTGATGGGAGACTCATCCTCCAGAAGTACTGATGGGAGACTCATCCTCCAGAAGTACTGATGGGAGACTCGTCCTCCAGAAGTACTGATGGGAGACCCGTCCTCCAGAAGTACTGATGGGAGACCCATTCTCCAGAAGTACTGATGGGAGACCCATCCTCCAGAAGTAGTGATGGTCGACCCATCCTCCAGAAGTACTGATGGGAGACCCATCCTCCAGAAGTAGTGATGGGAGACTCATCCTCCAGAAGTAGTGATGGGAGACTCATCCTCCAGAAGTACTGATGGGAGACTCATCCTCCAGAAGTACTGATGGGAGACCCATCCTCCAGAAGTACTGATGGGAGACTCGTCCTCCAGAAGTACTGATGGGAGACCCATCCTCCAGAAGTACTGATGGGAGACTCATCCTCCAGAAGTACTGATGGGAGACTCGAAGTACTGATGGGAGACCCGTCCTCCAGAAGTACTGATGGGAGACTCATCCTCCAGAAGTACTGATGGGAGACTCATCCTCCAGAAGTACTGATGGGAGACTCATCCTTCAGAATTACCTAGACAACTTATCACCTGGAAGTGTTGATGGGCGACTAAATAACTCATCATTTCTGTGTTATGAATATGCGCTTTGATAATAGGCTTAAATTTTGTCATTTTACTTAGTTTCATGTGAAATGAAGACAAATATAGGATTTTGTTCATTACGTAACTTTTGTGAGTATTCACAAAAAGAGCCAATCGGCACAAAGATTCAATATCTAGATTGGTGATACTCAGTCTATATGGTTTCTGATGTACAAATACAGGGATTGTAATATACTGGGTGTTATTACACTGATAACAGAGTAGTTATGTGATGGATGTAATAACACTGATAACAGGGTAGTTATGTGATGGGTGTTATTACACTGATAACACGGTAGTATGTGATAGATGTAATTACACTGATAACAGGGTAGTTATGTGATGGATGTATTTACACTGATAACAGTAGTTATGTGATGGGTGTTATTACACTGATAACAGGGTAGTTATGTGATGGGTGTTATTACACTGGTAACAGGGTAGTATGTGATGGGTGTTATTACACTGATAACAGTAGTTATGTGATGGGTGTTATTACACTGATAACATGGTAGTATGTGATGGGTGTTATTACACAGATAACAGGGTAGTTATGTAATGAGTGTTATTACTCTGATAACAGAGCAGTTATGTGATGGGTGTTATTACACCGATAACAGAGTAGTTATGTAATGGGTGTTATAACACTGATAACAGGTGTTAAAACACTGATAACAGAGTAGTTATGTGATGGGTGTTATTACACTGATAACAGAGTAGTTATGTGATGGGTGTTATTACACTGGTAACAGGGTAGTTATGTAATGGGTGTTATTACACTGATAACAGAGTAGTTATGTGATGGGTGTTATTACACTGGTAACAAGGTAGAATGTGATGGGTGTTATTACACTGATAACAGGGTAGTTATTTGATGGGTGTTATTACACTGGTAACAGGGTAGTATGTGATGGGTGTTATTACACTGATAACAGGGTAGTTATGTGATGGGTGTTATTACACTGATAACATGGTAGTATGTGATGGGTGTTATTACACTGATAACACGGTAGTATGTGATGGGTGTTATTACACTGATAACAGAGTAGAATGTGATGTGTGTTATTACACTGATAACAGGGTAGTTATGTGATGGGTGTTATTACACTGATAACAAGAGTAGAATGTGATGGGTGTTATTACACTGATAACAGGGTAGTTATGTAATGGGTGTTATAACACTGATAACAGGTGATAAAACACTGATAACAGGGTAGTTATATGATGGGTGTTATTACACAGATAACAGGGTAGTTATGTAATGGGTGTTATTACACAGATAAAAGGGTAATTATGTAATGAGTGTTATTACTCTGATAACAGAGTAGTTATGTGATGGGTGTTATTACACCGATAACAGAGTAGTTATGTAATGGGTGTTATAACACTGATAACAGGTGTTAAAACACTGATAACAGGGTAGTTATGTGATGGGTGTTATTACACAGATAACAGGGTAGTTATGTAATGGGTGTTATTACACAGATAACAGGGTAATTATGTAATGAGTGTTATTACTCTGATAACAGAGTAGTTATGTGATGGGTGTTATTACACCGATAACAGAGTAGTTATGTAATGGGTGTTATAACACTGATAACAGGTGTTAAAACACTGATAACACAGTAGTTATGTGATGGGTGTTATTACACTGGTAACAGGGTAGAATGTGATGGGTGTTATTACACTGATAACAGGGTAGTTATGGGATAGGTGTTATTACACTGATAACAGGGTAGTTATGTAATGGGTGTTATTACACTGATAACAGGATAGTTATGTGATGAATGTTATTACTCTGATAACAGTAGTTATGTGATGGGTGTAATTACACTGATAACAGAGTAGTTATGTAATGGGTGTTATTACACAGATAACAGGGTAGTTATGTAATGAGTGGTATTACTCTGATAACAGAGTAGTTATGTGATGGGTGTTATTACACTGATAACAGAGTAGTTATGTAATGGGTGTTATAACACTGATAACAGAGTAGTTATGTGATGGGTGTTATTACACTGATAACAGGTGTTATTACACAGATAACAGGGTAGTTATGTAATGAGTGTTATTACTCTGATAAAAGAACAGTTATGTGATGGGTGTTATTACACTGATAACAGAGTAGTTATGTAATGGGTGTTATTACACTGATAACAGGGTAGTTATGTAATGGGTGTTATTACACTGATAACAGAGTAGTTATGTGATGGGTGTTATTACACTGGTAACATGGTAGAATGTGATGGGTGTTATTACACTGATAACAGGGTAGTTATTTGATGGGTGTTATTACACTGATAACAGGATAGTTATGTGATGGGTGTTGTTACACTGGTAACAGGGTAGTATGTGATGGGTGTTATTACACTGATAACAGGGTAGTTATGTGATGGGTGTTATTACACTGATAACATGGTAGTATGTGATAGGTGTTATTACACTGATAACACGGTAGTATGTGATGGGTGTTATTACACTGATAACAGAGTAGAATGTGATGTGTGTTATTACACTGATAACAGGGTAGTTATGTGATGGGTGTTATAACAATGATAACAGGTGTTAAAACACTGATAACAGAGTAGTTATGTGATGGGTGTTATTACACAGATAACAGGGTAGTTATGTAATGGGTGTTATTACACTGATAACAGAGTAGTTATGTGATGGGTGTTATTACACTGGTAACAGGGTAGAATGTGATGGGTGTTATTACACAGATAACAGGGTAGTTATGTAATGGGTGTTATTACACTGATAACAGAGTAGTTATGTGATGGGTGTTATTACACTGGTAACAGGGTAGAATGTGATGGGTGTTATTACACTGATAACAGGGTAGTTATTTGATGGGTGTTATAACACTGATAACAGAGTAGTTATGTAATGGGTGTTATAACACTGATAACAGGGTAGTTATTTGATGGGTGTTATTACACTGATAACAGAGTAGTTATGTAATGGGTGTTATAACAATGATTACAGGTGTTAAAACACTGATAACAGAGTAGTTATGTGATGGGTGTTATTACACTGGTAACAGGGTAGTATGTGATGGGTGTTATTACACTGATAACACGGTAGTATGTGATGGGTATTATTACACTGATAACATGGTAGTTATGTGATGGGTGTTATTACACTGATAACAGGGTAGTTATATGATGGGTGTTATAACACTGATAACAGGTGTTATAACACTGATAACAGAGTAGTTATGTGATGGGTGTTATTACACTGATAACAAGATAGTTATGTGATGGGTGTTATTACACTGATAACAAGATAGTTATGCAATGGGTGTTATAACACTGATAACAGAGTAGTTATGTGATGGGTGTTATTACACAGATAACAGGGTAGTTATGCAATGGGTGTTATTACACTGATAACAGAGTAGTTATGTGATGGGTGTTATTACACTGATAACAAGATAGTTATGTGATGGGTGTTATTACACTGATAACAAGATAGTTATGTGATGGGTGTTATTACACTGATAACAAGAGAGTTATGCAATGGGTGTTATAACACTGATAACAGAGTAGTTATGTGATGGGTGTTATTACACAGATAACAGGGTAGTTATGCATGGGTGTTATTACACTGATAACAGAGTAGTTATTTGATGGGTGTAATTACACTGATAACAGGGTAGTATGTGATGGGTGTTATTACACTGATAACAGAGTAGTTATGTAATGGGTGTTATAACAATGATTACAGGTGTTAAAACACTGATAACAGAGTAGTTATGTAATGGGTGTTATTACACAGATAACAGGGTAGTTATGTGATGAGTGTTATTACAATGATAATAGAGTAGTTATATGATAGGTGTTATTACAATGATAATAGAGTAGTTATATGATGGGTGTTATTACAATGATAACAGGGTAGTTATGTAATGAGTGTTATTACAATGATAATAGAGTAGTTATATGATGGGTGTTATTACAATGATAACAGGGTAGTTATGTAATGAGTGTTATTACAATGATAATAGAGTAGTTATATGATGGGTGTTATTACAATGATAACAGGGTAGTTATGTGATGAGTGTTATTACAATGATAATAGAGTAGTTATATGATGGGTGTTATTACAATGATAACAGGGTAGTTATGTAATGAGTGTTATTACACTGATAACAGAGTAGTTATATGATAGGTGTTATTACAATGATAACAGGGTAGAATGTGATGCAATGCAATGATAACATTGTGTAATGAGTGTTTGTTGAACCTTACCCAGCCTCTAGGGTTTCTTCCTCCACCAGTACACCTTCTGTGTCTTCGTTTACTTGTAGAAACACATATTTGTCCATGTTAGGTCGCATAGCTGTGTAAAGGAAAAGTTATTCTATAAATTACAATACTGAGTTATAGATTACCATGATGTTACTGGCTACTGTCATTTTACCAGTAAAATGACCACTGGCTACAGGTTGGTCAATGGGCAGTAGTTGAACAGGTAATATAATAAGGAGAGTGGCTTATCTTCAATTGCAGATTTGATTTTCATTCTGTGGGCTATATAAAACTTAATGCATAATCTTGAGATAAATGGGTAAGTTTCAAGTAATTATTAGACTTTCTGCTTTTCACAGAAACTGCTTAGAATTTGATTAAAGGATTATAGTGCAAGAAAAAGTACATCTGAAGGAAACAGGTGGAAACCAGTGCATAATAAGTAATTAGACATTTTTGTTGGGAAATTAAGGGCAATTTAAATGAACAATAAGTAACTGTTAGGCAGGTGCTTGTTGAGGTTTGGGCTGAAGTTTTCTTTCCTGTGCGTGGTTGATCTGGTGCCTCTAGAACTACACTGTAGTCTGTAGTTTAAGTATTAAGTCATTTTATTGTGGTATTTGCTTATGTAATGAAAAATAGTAACAATTTACATGAAATTGAAACAAAATCTTCTAGAATTTTTCTTGATGATAGTAAATGCTATTTGCAGACACTCTAGTGGTGACAAGAACTATCATATACAGAAAGCAAGAAAAGATAAATTAGACAAGACTTTGTCAATATTTAAGATTTATCCCAGCAAAAGTAATTAAACAGGAAATTTCTTTGAGACAGAAATATTAAAAAACAAATTTTGCAAAGGGAATATATACAAGAAATTTAATACTTTTATTTAATTACACTACATTTTATTTAAACACTATTTTCATAACAATATTTTGTTATTAATGGAATTATTGGCCTTATATGTTTGTCTTTATAGATCATTCATATAAATATTCAAATGATGGCTACACTTTCAACAGAAATGGTGAGATTTTTTGACACAAAATGTCATTATACAGCATATTTCTGATGATCTGTAAAAATCAAAACCTACTTTTCTGTTGTTATAGTTCAATCTGCTTTCAGGAAATTTTTTTCTTTTTAAAATTGGTATAAACAGGAGCTGATTATGTCATAATGTTTCATTAAAATTTCTTCTCTACAAAAAGCAAAAAAAAAAAATCCCACTTTGCAAAAAAAGAACTTGGTCAGTTTACCAACTGGGACAGGGGTTGAAAAAGAAGTCATTTTGCCCTTTGATGGATTAAGACCAGTGTACAAAAGATGATATACTATAGGTATAATTTTCATAATTCATTGCAGTGCTTTGACCTCCAGAATTAAGAGTAAGATTGGGCATGACTGTGGTTTCATTAACATCTCAATGCATAATACAACCTTGAATTTGAGGGTTCATTTTTTTTATGTATCTCAAAACTTACATTATGTTTCATTAGATAATGTTATGACATTTAGAAGATATAGTTCATAAAAATCTTAAAAAAAAAATCAACTTAGGCATCTGATGAAAAATTGACCTTTACAATCATGAAGTTTCAACAAATCATATGTACTTCCAAACAGCACGACTTTAATTTAAAATCAATGAAAACATTTCCTGCCTGAATGAAAAACATCAGACTTTAGGTTAGATACTCAAAAATCTTACTCGTTGGGATGAGACAAGTCACACAAAGTACTATAAAGAGCAAAGAAAAGAATCTAAAGATCTTGTTATTTATTTTTGACATCCAAATAGAAGCATGATAACTTCTACTTCACACGAACAGTGGAAAACATTGTTAAAAATCAGAATGAAAGGTAATTACATATATAAGCCTTTGCCATATACAGCATTGTCACATGTGGAGCTACAACCAAGACAGCGACACATTATAACATTCGTGACTTGACTTGAATAATGCCACAAAATCAATCTTGTAAATCAGTCTGACTCATGTGAACAATCCCCCAGGGAAACATGTGTTGTCAATATAGATGTTTTATCGGATAAACTGGCTCTATTAAAACTTACTACCAAAAAATGCCTGCCTCCTTTTGTTTTATTATTGATAGTATTACACTATCACTGCATGTATTCAAGTGCTGTCAGGAAATCAGTCTTTAGGAGGAGGAACAGTGAATTACAGGGACAGGTACTGCTGTTTTCTCATTGGTTCCCAAAGTCATGATCTTATTGAAAGTTTGACACAAATATGATGTATTTTAAAGAAGAAACATGAGTAAGAACAGTACAATAACCAAATAATTGAAGTTAATCTTTTCAGATCTTTTTCATCACAGACTGAATAAGCCTCTTCCATTTTTTCAGGAATTATAGTGAATTAAAAAGAGATATTGTGAAATTTCTCAGAACTTTAGAATTCATTATTTTACATAGGTTCAACAAGCTAACAGTGAAATGTAGTGTGATATGAATGGTTAAACAGGGATGACCAAGGTAGAGGTGGTGCCCTAGCCGTGCTACTTCACTGGTCATCAGTGACTGATCAGTCTAGCTCACCTGTCTAGCTCACCTGACTAGCGTCCAGACTAACTCTATCAGGTTTAACAAGGGGTGAATTGACAATAAACTACCTATGAACATTAATTGTGTGAAGACAGTAACCCAGTGTGAAGGTCACTGAGTCTAACATTTACAGATCACTAGGAAAAAGAATGCTTGTTCTATTTTAAGTTTATATGAGGTCATGTTTCAACAGGTCAAAGGTCATGTCTCACAAGGTCAAAGGTAAACATGTCTGGATATCTAGGTAATAGGATGTGAGTTAACAGATTCATTGATAAATGTTAGCCTAACAGGAGGAGATACATGTAGATATCAACAGCCTTTATAAATGTTGACTCAGGGCTTTCAACTTAATCTACACCAGTCTGTGTGTAAATATTGACTGTGTACTAAACATCAATATCTGACAGGACATGTAATGTAAACATGATAAACCCATGTGTCCATCTGTCTAAATTTTAGCTATAATTATGTATTTTTGGTGAGAATCTTGAATTTTAATAAAGTATGCAATATTTCATTAAAAAAAAAAAACAGGAACACGAAAGAAGCTCAAAAATGCTTTTTATAATATGCTATTTGAGTTCTAACTCATTAAAAACCAGTAAACAACATATCACATAGGATGATGGAGTTGGCCATGAGAGAGAAAATTACATATGTTAGTAAATCAACATGGGTCCAATTCCTCATATTTACTTGTGTTGGACCTCTTGAAAGCATCTTAAAGTCATTATATTTATTCAATTGTTCCTCGGTAAATTTAGTAAATCAACATTTCTAGATGAATTTTTTTTTTTTGAGAAATAGGAGAGAATACCTAGACAAGCTTATTTTATGGAACAAGGTATGTATGCCTAAACGCATTTGTAATTACAATTCATTCATTTACCTTACAACAATTGTTAAACAAGTTATTTCCAATTTACATAAATCACTCTTGTTGTCCTCAATGGAAGTGCGGGAGGAATCTGACAATGGGAGAAAACCAAAGTTCAAGCTCAATTACACCTGTTCTGGGAATCAAAACCTGACAACTCACATTTGTGAACCGAATATATGTCAATTAGAAAAAAAATGTCTTTTCTGTTCTGTGGTTATCTTTCTACACATATTTAAACTTGATATTCATAAATACATGTACCTGCAGTTCTGACAAATAATAGATTACAAACTCTAGTTGATTTATGCATTCATTTTAATAAAATAGAAGATATGATAGTGTGGTGGTGCAGCAAATATCACGATCCCCCCAAAATTATCTGTTCCACATAAAAATAACTTGGAGGCCAAAGTTGCTCAAATCTTGGTTAGAATTATCTGATGGTTATTAAAAAATTCAGATCAGAATTGATCAAAATTAAGGATATTTTTCATCATTTCACAGTATAAGATTTGTTGAGACAGGTAGGATTGATATTTTTTTAATGTCATTTTTTCTTTGAAAGGTCTTATCTTTTTCAGTGGCAGCAATTAAAATTTCCCACTGGTTGACTCTAATCAAGCTTTCAAAAACTGTGACAAATTTAGGATTATAAGCTGATAAAGTTTTCTTTACAGTTGTTTAAAAATAGGTAAAGTATGACTGTACATTATCTAATGTGATCACAGGATTGTTTGTACCATATTCTCAAATGTCACGAAGGATACAAGAGTTATTTCCCTTGTTAAGTATGGCAGACAATCACATTTTGTTATTGACATTCATAAACATGAGATAATAAATTTCCAATATTTTATTGCCATTGGTTTTGCTTGCATTTCTTTACAGAGTTTGGACACCAAGTAAGAGTAAAATGAACAGAACATTATTTACCTGTCTGTTTGGTATCCAGTGTTTGAAGATTAGGAGGCATATGTCTGAGAGCCAAAGACCGGAAATGATTGTCCATTGTTTCAGCATAACTAAAATACATTAGTTAAACACATGTAAACATGCTGTAGTATTGGCTATGTTTCTTTCATTTCAATACAAATTCCCTTCATTAATTCTAGAGTATAGTGTACAAGGTAGTCTAAACGTACAGGTATATGTATAATATATAATATATACAATTTATAGAACACAAAAATTGTCATATATTTAACTTCAATTGTACAAGTAAAGTTACTTAGTACTATAATATCAGGTAGTTATTACAAAAAACATATCTTACTCTTTCGCAAATTCAAATTCTTCAGGTGACATTCTACATGCATCCTCTTCCTTTCTCTGTCTTTCTTGTTCTAAAATGTGAACAGTGTAACGTTCAACCTGAAACAAAAAATATGGCATTGCTGCCTTCAGTTAAGAATACCTTAAATTCATGAAAAATTATTCAGCTTTTACAGAGAAAACAAACTTATTTCCCTTCTTTGTTTGACCAAATCTTTTAGGTTTTTAATGAAAAAAAAATTATTGTATATAAACAGACATCTGGTCACTATCATACAAAGTAGTAATTAATGTAACTATCAAAAATTAAAGTGATCTACAGATATACCAAGTTTATACATCTTGAAATCAGCATTTCTGGGATAAAAACAAATTATAAAAACTTTCATTTTTTGATACAGGAAAAAATTCCATACCATTCACATAAAAAACAAAACTTGTATAGCATCACTCTAGGAAGCTGAAATATTTTAACACTTTGTTAAAATGATTCAAACCTATAGAAATTTTCTCAGTTGGAATCAGGAATAGCTATAATAACTATATACTTCCCTTGCCAAGTGTGCCTGTATTCTTCACAATGTAACACATTAATTTTGATGCCTCAAGATTTGAGCCCAACACCTCTGGATTACTAGTCCTATTCTTAACTGATTAATTTAATGTGAAGTTCTTTCTAGCTGAGCAGTATATGGCAACTGATATTTACCAAGATTACATACTCAACCTGGAAAGAACTCTACCTAGGTTCTCCATGTGTTACAGTAATGCTTATGGGGCATGGCTAAGTATTATTCCCTAACTCTCTACCTGGGTTTCCATGGGTTATAGTAATGCTTATGGGGCATGGCAAGTGTATAATTCCCCGACTCTCTACCTGGGTTCTCCATGTGTTATAGTAATGCTTATGGGGCATGGCCAAGTATCGTTCCCCAACTCTCTACCTGGGTTCTCCATGTGTTATAGTAATGCTATGGGGCATGGCTAAGTATTATTCCCTAACTCTCTACCTGGGTTTCCATGTGTTACAGTAATGCTTATAGGGCATGGCTAAGTGTTATCCCCTAACTCTCTACCTGGCTTCTCCATGTGTTATAGTAATGCTTATGGGGCATGGCCAAGTATCGTTCCCCAACTCTCTACCTGGGTTCTCCATGGGTTATAGCAATGCTTATGGGGCATGGCTAAGTATCATTCCCCTACTTTCTACCTGGGTTCTCCATGTGTTACAGTAATGCTTATAGGGCATGGCTAAGTGTTATCCCCTAACTCTCTACCTGGCTTCTCCATGTGTTATAGTAATGCTTATGGGGCATGGCCAAGTATCGTTCCCCAACTCTCTACCTGGGTTCTCCATGGGTTATAGCAATGCTTATGGGGCATGGCTAAGTATCATTCCCCGACTTTCTACCTGGGTTCTCCATGTGTTATAGTAATGCTTATGGGGCATGGCTAAGTGTTATCCCCCAACTCTCTACCTGGCTTCTCCATGTGTTATAGTAATGCTTATGGGGCATGGCTAAGTATCGTTCCCCAACTCTCTACCTGGGTTCTCCATGGGTTATAGTAATGCTTATGGGGCATGGCTAAGTATCATTCCCCGACTCTCTACCTGGGTTCTCCATGGGTTATAGTAATGCTTATGGGGCATGGCTAAGTATCGTTCCTCAACTCTCTACCTGGGTTCTCCATGGGTTATAGTAATGCTTATGGGGCATGGGTAAGTATCATTCCCCAACTCTCTACCTGGGTTCTCCATGGGTTATAGTAATGCTTATGGGGCATGGCTAAGTATCATTCCCTGACTCTCTACCTGGGTTCTCCATGTGTTACAGTAATGCTTATGGGGCATGGCTAAGTGTTATCCCCCAACTCTCTACCTGGCTTCTCCATGTGTTAAAGTAATGCTTATGGGGCATGGCTGAGTGTTATCCCCCAACTCTCTACCTGGGTTCTCCATGGGTTATAGTAATGCTTATGGGGCATGGGTAAGTATCGTTCCCCAACTCTCTACCTGGGTTCTCCATGGGTTATAGTAATGCTTATGGGGCATGGCTAAGTATCATTCCCCGACTCTCTACCTGGTTTCTCCATGTGTTACAGTAATGCTTATGGGGCATGGCTAAGTGTTATCCCCCAACTCTCTACCTGGCTTCTCCATGTGTTAAAGTAATGCTTATGGGGCATGGCGAAGTGTTATCCCCCAACTCTCTACCTGGCTTCTCCATGTGTTAAAGTAATGCTTATGGGGCATGGCTAAGTATCATTCACTGACTCTCTACATTGGTGCTGATGTTACAAGATCACTCTCTCTAACCAAGCTATATACTGTGGCTAGTTTTTACCTGGGTTATGACAATAGATATCACTAACATTTTGCCGCAGAAGAGGCCAAATCAACTTTAAGTTGAAAACTTTGCCACAGACAAGACCAGATTAAATAGAATTTTGAAAATTTGTCATAGACAACACCCGATTAAATAAAATATATTCAAGACTTGTCACAAACAAGGCTAAATGACCTCAAATCCATCCAGACTTGGTCACAGAGAAGACAAAGACAATGCACATACTGACCTTCTGTAGACGGCATCTGAGGTAGCTGCTGATGATGTAACGAATTCTGTCAATCTGAAACAGAGTCAGAATGTATCATAGCACTAGTACTGTTAAAGTATATGTAAAAAATTTTTTCAACATTTTTACAATTGAATGGGAAAAAATAAATAGAATCTTACATCCCCTTTAAGATGAGATAGGCAGATCTGAGGGGAAAGATGACCTAGGCTTGCCAAGTGTTTGGAACTTGAACATCTTTTCCCTTTGGTTGAGATTATCAAATCAATTATAACATTACAAAGGCAATCATGATAAAGTATCTCTAAAGATGAATTTTTTCCATTTTGAGACAGAAAATCTCAACTCTTGAGATAAGAATGTAAAGCCATCAGCAGAACCTTCTACTGGACATGTACGTTAAAGAACTCTATCTTTTGACTTGCAACTTTTCCTTATGCATCATGCAAATATTTTAAAAAGGTCAAGTAAGCTTTAATTTTTTTTTCAGAATATTTTCTTCAGGCATATTAATGTCATAAAAGTTCTCATAACACAACCAGTAGAAGATTAGAGTGTGACATTTCAATGACTACATGAACACTTTCATCAGACAAATGACCAGTGTGGAGCATAGTAGCACTGACGTGCATAGAGTAGGAGATGGAGAGGAATCAACCCAACTTTTTAGCTGTACTATAACCCCATGAACACTAAGGTAAAAACAATTGAGACAAGATGGTGACAATGTAATGTAGTAAAATTGGCTATGCTTTGTTTAACACTTGGTCAAAGATGTGAGAGTCTGTGGCTCCCCATCATCCAAGTTTAGTACAGGTCCACGGTGGCATATCTAGATGGCTTCCTTAACCAGCTGTCAGAAAATCTCCCATTGTGATAATGTTTTGTTCCTGTAAAAGCATTCTTACCTCCATTCTGTGGATGCTGACTCGAATATCGGACCGTTTGGCACGTTTTATATTTTCCTCCATTTCTACTAACTGTTCAAGCATACATTCCACCAGGTCCATTTTAGCATCCAATAAGTCTGGTGAAAACTTCTCATTTCGCCATGCCTACGCAAAGTATGCACAATTTTTAAATACAAGCAGTGATGGGACGACGATCAGATACAAATGACTATCTAACTGTTTAACCTCATCAGATGTAATGACCGATTGTAATTTTTCATACTTGATCATTGGTAAGTTCTTGCATTTTAACAGAATAAAATACATATTATGCATAGTAAACATGCCAAATACCAAAAATATTCATTCTTATGTAATTCTAGGTAAGTTAGGTATTTTAAGTTAAAGTTACAAAAAAAAAAAAAAAAATGAATATTGAACACTCATTTTATATGGATTAACTACATCAAAAGTCCTATCTGATTTTATCCCAAAATTGATTATAGATTGCAACTCATATCCCATCACTAACTATTTCAAAATTTCCAAAATGACATGTCACACCAGAGCCATACATATGTTTGTCAAATGCAGAGTATGATGAAGAAATGTTATGTAGATAATATATTTCATTCTTTTGTTTTCACAGTATTGAGTATTTAAAGCAGTATACATGTGCATACCACAGCGGCTGGGCATATAATAAACAGATGATGTATTTCAATAGTGTGTAATGTTTTGTAAAAACAAAAATATACACATCTACACCATAACACCTTTTCCAAGGTACAGTGTTTATTCTGTGATTATTAGCAATGTCAAACCACTCACTACCAGTGACTTTTATATCTAATATGAATGCCATCAGATTCCCATGTGAACACATTATTTATTTCTTTTTCCCAGTCGACTAATTTTGTAACACATATAACCAAAGTTTCGTCCATCGGTATATTCCATTGTGACTTATGGGACATTTGATAGATTTCTCTTATATTGAATGTGAAAAATAAAAGATATAATTCAAAATAGGATGCTTTTTACTATTACAAGTCACAGAGTAAATGTATCTTTAACAAAAAACCAGAAAAAATTGAAAGTCAGTTGATTGTGTTTTCAACAACAGGCTATAGAATGGTAGTGTGACTTATGGGACATTTTTAGATACCATTTTCTAAGTTGTCTGGGAAGATTGCCATCGCTATCTCAATTTCAGAGATATGTTTATTGTTTGTAGCCTATTTGTTAGTTCTTGGATGTACCTGCGACCTGACAAAAAATGTGAGATTGGTCTTGCTCTTAGTTTTCACTGGTAGTTTGATACATCATGTGACTTATGGGACAAAAAAACGTGACTTATGGGACGCTATCAACTCAAAATCATTACAAACTATTTTGATGTAAATATGTCTTTATTATTCCACAGAAACCTCATGCAAATGAACAAAGCAAAACATATGTTGGGAATTCACATATTAAAGAACAGATTTTTCAAAAAAATTTGAAGTCAATGCGTCATAATCAGATGCAATAACAGCAAAACAAGAAAAACAAACTATTTGGTACAGAAACATTGTCAATTGAAACACTTTCCTGCCAAAGGATGAAACACAACATAATTGAAACTAATTCAACAATGTTATGGTCTCCAAGTCCTTCTAAACTGACCTTGACATGTATCGTGACTTATGGGACACAAGCACTAAACTCTGTACATGCCTTTTGCATTAACAAGCACAGGCTCGGTTTTCATAAGACACTTTATTTGGTTCTTGTGATACCAAATGGTGTCCCTTTCTGGTTCAAATACATATGATTTCCCAGAGCTACCTAACTTCAGACACCTAATTTGGTACTGGCCACCTTTTATGTTGATTATCAGTCCATGGTAATACACAGATTCATACTCAACGTCTACCCACTGACCACAAGTATACTCAGATTGCAAGGCAGAGTTATTTGAGGTTGAATTGATCTTGGTAACTGACTCATTTTCCTCCCTGTTAAGAAGGAAAATGTATCCATTTCTGAATCAATCACTGAAGAATGTATGGAATATTTGATGACATATTCCTCCAACAACCTGAAAACAATGAGCAGAACGTGTGCCAGGTAGTGTTTTAATATCTTGCCCAGTGGGCCTCCAGCTATCATCAAGTTTTTGTTTGTTCATCTCAATCTTTGTTTTGTCAACATAGAGGACATTAATATTGGGGCAGACTTCTTTTGCTAGTTCTGCAAATTCCGATGAGGAGGATATATCTAAATGTTGGGCTTTCACTTTTTCGGAAACCCGTCTTTTCACTGTTCCGCCAATGCCGTCAATGCAGCCTTTGCCATGGGATGTTGCAGAGAAATTCCACTTAGCTGGCAGATTCTGGAGAGCCAGAGAACATAATGTGAATTTTTGTTTGAAATGTTGAGCAGTGCCATCGGACTGGTATTCAATGCAAGAAATGATCACATCATCATTCTCTTGTCTGAAGTGTTCCATAAGCATGTCATTGAACACGACAACTGCATATTTGTCATGATGCTTGTAGTTGGATATAATAACATATGGCTCAGATTTCAGCTCCACACCATCCCCTGTTTGTTTGGCATAGTAGATCATTGCAGTGTATAGGGTTGATGATTGCGTATCCCAATACACTGACTGGATTTCATCCTGTACTTTGTGTGTAAAATTTTCACTGAAGTCAGTCTGAATCAGTAGTGTACCAATAGGCAAGTTTTGCTTTAGATTATCAAAATAACTGGACTGGACTCTCTTGATGAAAACATGTTGCAGGAAAAAAGCAAGCTTGGATTTCAAAATTGCAAGTATGTTCTCCACAATGTCGCAGAGTGAATGGCGCATAAGCTGATCATCTTCTGACCTCATCCATTGCTTGTACGCGACTTCTTTCTTGGTTTCATTACCAGCAAGTGAGGAAATCAAATCATCATACATTTTCAAATTTCCACATTCACTACAATCTGTTTGAAACATGCACTTTTCTAGTTCATCATTGCAGACAACTTTTTTGATAAATTCAGCTGTTGAATTTGGCAGTCCTGGGACAGATTCCAGAATTAGTCGGATATTTTCATGATATATGCAAAGACAGATATTGGCTGGGGTACCAGAAGACACACATGTTTTGGTCGAAGATCAGCAAATTTAGATTTTCCAATTTTTACATCTGAGAAAGCCAGCTTGAACTGTTGATAGGCCTCACCCACAGTCATTGTGAGAAATTGTTTCTGGACCTTTTTCTTGTTGCCCTTCTCTCTCAGAATCACAAAATCCTTTTTCCCTGGGGCTTGGCTCGATATGTCATCACGTTCATAAAAATTTAACACAGTTTCTAAGACAGCACTGTCTATTCCCGAAGCTGCTCTTCTTTTAGCTGGTGTTAGAAAAGTTTCTGGGGAAAACTTGACTGCCAGCTTCTGTACAACTATTTTCTGTTTCCTTGGGTTTCTAGGAAGTCTTGACTCTGCCCTGTTAACAGCTCGGCTTATGGTGGCATGACTGACTGGCACAGAAGACTCAGCACCAGAGGTGTTTTTAAACTTTGTCCTACAAAATACAAAGGTTTCCATAGCGAATAATTGTTTCAGAACTTTTCTATGTCCTGGAATTAAGAAAACATACATGTCAATCAATAATCATCACTATTAATATCAAGTTTAATTTATTCGTGACTTATGGGACATTCAAGATGAAAATCATTATCAAACTACAGAAGAAGACAGATTACATTAAAATATTTGGGATTGTTCCCAGTTTTAACTGTAAACATGGTAAAACAATTTTTCAACACTTTTATTATGATGGTGTTCAATAGACTTACCTATAATTTGCTTTACATTTCCGTTTATATTCCTTTAGAGCTTTTTTTTGCCCTAGAGACATGGTGTCTTTTCTTTTCTTCTCCCACTGCCTATGATATGCAGTCTGCTTTTGCCTGTATTCCTCATATTTGGAGTTTGCTTTCAGCCATAAACGCCTTGCTCTCTGCCTTTCTGCATTGCTTTTAGGTGGCATTTTGATTTCACACTTGGTGACTGATGGGATGTGACTTACGGGACAATTTTCAAGGCAAGTCCATTGACAGAAATAAGAGACAATGACACACAAGTCCCTAATCCCTGATTAAGCACAATGTAGTACTAGATAAATATAAGTGACTCTGTCTTTGGAAACAGCTGACTTGCATATGAAGTAAACAACTCTATGAAAATTGTGACTTATGGGACAATTTTGACATCACCAAGTTCAAGGTTAAATTTGCAGATGTTTCAGTCTTGACACCATATTGTTACAATGTTTCATTAAAACTTCATTGATGAATGATCTTTTAAATGTTGACACTTCAGTTCAATGATATTATTTTGTGGGAATAAAAAAAGATAAACATTCTGCTTATTTTGGGGGCATTCAAGAGAAATTTTTGTCACAAGGGGAAAAATGTGATAATTCATGAACAGAGACTGATATCGAAGAAATTTAACTTGATTTAGAAAGTAGAGACAATACTGGTTCCATAAATTTATATAATTTTATTATGAAATAAAGTTTAGAAATTGCTGAAAATGAACATTTCCCATGGAATTGACCCACGTGTTATGATTGAAAGTTACATTTCAATGATAAATAATGCTGTTTTGTCAATAAAATGAATATTATTAGTTTTGAGTTGGGTGGATTTAATTCACACTGTGGTCTGGAAGGTACCACTGTATTCTGGATTGTATTATTTCGTTTAATGAAACAATACAAGGGAGACAACTTAGCGGGAAAGACAGGAGTTGATAATCCTTGCAATCGAACATATTTTCTTTTGGTTATTTGTCTACGTATTTGTCATGTATGCCTAGTTGTTATTTACCTTGGGTAAACCAGATATGTTTTTATAAGATTTTGCTCCATTATATTTATAATGTAGGATTACAGAGCAAATATGTCATTGTATAAACATCACAACCCATCTTTGTTACACTGAACATATCCTTGTGATCATTTCACTCTATGACATTGACATATACAGCCTTGGTGTAGCAGGGGCTAAATACAGCTTTGTTTTGTCAATTCGAAATCATTTGAAGAAGTACACTACACGAGTTGAGGTAACTTTCTCCTGTGGCATGGCACTCAGCGCTACTACACATTTGAGTATTAAGTTACTGACCTCTTCTAGTTTCTGTAAAACTTCAGCTGCAGTCATTGCTTCTCCTTCTTCGTCACTGCCATCGCCGAATTCATCAAGCTCCGACATTTTGCTTTAGGTACAATGCTTCAACACAATAAAGATCAGAGCGATGTTTACAAATGTCAAAGTGAAACTAAGCTTCCCGCCATGTGCGTGTAACTTCCGGCACTTTCCGCTCTCATACGCCTGATAGAGTTATTTCCCTTTAACCACAGATTGATATACAAAGTTAGTTGTAGCCAATAAAAAAGTATGACAGTAGGTGTACATGTTTCCAGAGTGTAAGTCATTCCCCAAATGTGTCGTCTTGACGGTCTCATTCATATCAGACATTCAAAGTTTATGGCTGTCGGCCACATGAACTTGGCGGCACTGATTCCCGACCGACGATCATGATACATGAACGAAAATTCAAACGAATTTCAAATCTGCTTTTTTAAAGGGTGAAAACTTGTAATGATATTCATGTAAACACGGACTTGGTTATAGAAATCTATATACAAGTCAGCGATTCAAAGTATTTGATCCTAAATATATTTAAACAGATTTTTTTTTGTACTTTTACAAAATTAGATTTTTTTTTCCTTTTTGAGGTATACACTATTAATTATAATCCTAGACTGCTACCAGCTACAACGTACACCAGTCATCAGCCACAAAACAGGCTCTTATGGTGCACGTGTTTTATAAAACAGTAAGAACAAACACAGTAAATTTACTCAACCTCTGGTTCGTGTTCTGGCAAGAAAATTGCCCAATGATCGGCCGGGAAGTGCTGATAACAGCAATAATAACATGAATAGGATAAAAAAAAATTGAAACCCGTTATCAGTTTAAAAGACAGAAGACAGAAGGAAAATTCACAGATAGATGAAACTGGAAAGCAACTAAAATTGACAAGTGCCATTATTAAAAAACTAGAGGTAAACATTACTGAATTAGCGAAATGAAACCGCCTATTACATACTAATCATTATACATCAGAGCCAACAGCGTAGTACACACGATCATCAGATAGTAACCCTCTCGTAGTGAGCAGCTCGCCAACATAAATGAACAAGTTCATTCCCTAGAGGTGGAACAACCAGGATCTAGAGTTCATAACTTGGAGATACACGTCTTACTGTAAAATATCAGAATGCAGCCCCCCTCCTGGAGGACAATATCCTGCCTACCAAACCTCACGTTACCACATTCCCTTATATAACATATACTATTGGTATATATCATCCTTAGCAACATCTCATTTCACTTCACATCCAACGGAGCTCCCGCCCCTTGTACCTCTGTTTCAGGACTGTTCTCACACACATCAAAATCGCCTGAATACGTACCTGTTAAAATCATTATTAGTCTATAATCCAAGTAAGCGGTTCACACGGAAATATTTATATTCTATGAAGAAATTTGGGTGAAGGGTATTAACATTGTCTTTATGACATTGTCAATACTAAGGTGTGTTAAAGACGCATTTGCTTCACACATGTTGTGTAGATAATGTTGGAGGACCTGGTGTGCCAAAAGAGACCTGGAATGTGTATTGATATGTGTTATTTTAGAGATACGATCTTTAGAAATATATATTCCAAAAGTCCATATTGATAAGTGTACAAAGTTCCTTTACCTAATAGTTCTTATTGAAAATACATAGCAGTATCTAGGACCCTTTTTCCTAGAAAACCCATAAAAGTTTGTGAAAGTGAAGTCAGTAGGATTAATGATAGACAGATAGCCTTTTATACATTAACACGTACACAAGACCTGGCATAGCATGGTTCCACAGTAGTGTTGTTACACTGAGAGATAAGCCGCACAGCAGCCAGAAACACAAAACTTATTCCAGTTCAAACTGACGGAGGAGAAAGCTTAATTTCTCTGTTATCTCTTCGATCAAAACACAGAATAAGTGATCGCTTTGAGATATCGCATATTTATTGAAACAATAGTTGTCTTTCTCTTCCACTTTAGATAATGCAGATTGTAAAGAGTGAACAAGTTGGACAAGAAAGCAGTTCTCTCACAATAATCGTCCTCTCCCGACACTGTTATTTACATCTCGAGCAAAGAAGACGCTATGCTACTGGGTCAAACTAAAGACAGCACGTCGTGTGCAAGATGAGCCAATTCCTTGTTTGTTGAACTGGATGCCATGACAGATAATTGTGATAGAATATATCATTGGCAACTGGTCACTTATATAAGCATCTCAGGTAACTATGGGACATTTATCTTATCAACACTCCTGAAATATCATACGTTGTTGGATCCTCTCACGACAAGGATACAGCACTCCAGCTATAACATACACTATACTGTCCTATTGGATAGAAAACCATTGGTGCAACCGAATAGACAGTACCAATACTTTTAAGGATGCCACATGCACTTAAACAACAGTAAACCATTACACCCAGAAGTCAAGAGGTTTAAGAAAAACTTTAAATGAAATGTAGTCTATTTTTTCTGATTTAGGCAGTTCAATATGTAATGTAAAACAGATCAACCGCGCGGCAGGGTAGTCCACGCAATTCACTTAAACCATAGCCCAAAGCGGGACATAGTTGCAACAGAATTTGTTTCTTAAAAAAAGGCTACAAAATCGAACTTTCAGAAAATGGCTTTTAGGCCTTCAAGGGGATCAATAATATTTTAAGCCGTGCTTGTAATTTAATATCTACCTCTTGTGTAACATTGGAAATAGAAACACAGTACAGATGTTTCAACTCGGGTATTGCAAACAATGGAACTACAGTGTATCTATAAAATTTTTAACTTGGTTTTTGTTGTTTAAGTGTAGAAGATATCATTAATACATATGACAGACAAAATAAGTTACTATATCAATTCTAAAACATATGGTATTGACTTTATCATATATGACCAATGACACATCCACATACAAAAACATCATATTTAAATCTGACATATTGTGCTGATTTGGTAGTGTTTTGTTAAACGTAATTGGGACCCCCATTTCTGTAGCTTGTACTTTAAAAAGGGCCAAGTAAATGCTTTAAAGCATTTTTATATATGAGTACTACATTGAAATATTGAGTTTAGTAAGAAAACATCATAGCATGCATTATGTGCTGTTTTGGTGCTCCTTTTTGTTGAATATCTCTCAACGTTGTTGTACTATGCTCATGATAAAATTTAAACATGAAAAATAACAAAAGGCAATAACTCCTGAATTATGCAGAAGAGAGTTATAGTTCTTGTACACTGCACTTCTCATCATCAAGATCTATTTACCTATAAAACTTCATGTTGATACCTCATGCTTTTTTTTTGTTATGCTCCGGACAAAATTATGATGTCCGGACGCCCTCACTCAGAGACAGTTGTGGGGAAAACCAAACGGCCGAACGGACGGACAAAGCGGCGACTATATGTTCTCCTTTCGAGAAGTATAATTACCTGTACATATGGCATATTTCTATGGGAGTTATTTTAATCTCGCATTAATACTATTGAGGATTTTTTTTAAAAAAATTCCCTTTGTATGTTCAACATTTAAATATTTTTAAGTAATATTTATGGTGTAGTAGTTTTGAAGCAATATCTTATTGATTTTTGGGTTATTTTGTATTAAACATGGACTGATTTTGCAATGTTGTTAGTTACGCCATGACCAGCATCATTCACTTATATTTGTTCAGCAAGCAATTAGATTTATTTTCTTGATCCCAATTAGGACGAAAAAGAACAAAATTTAACAAGATTTATTTTTTTTGTAGACACTCTCTTGTTACATATTGTATACTGATTATATACTTATTTTGAAAACAATTGCAATTCTGTACCGGTTGAACCGAAAGTGATTGAATTATTATAGTTAAACACCCATATGATTATTTAATCAATACAATTAATTAAGATTTCAAATATATTCGGCTAACATCAACTAAGTATCAAACTGAATTAAAAAATAAAAAAAATCATGGCATTTGAAATTAATGAGGTTTGTTTTTTTCTTATCCTGACCATTTTAAAAACAGTGCATCACATTTCCCACAAGTTTTAATCCCTCAACATAACATTCACAAAAAATCATTTGTCAGTGTTTTGCTCACAACTCAGAGATGATTTTTAAGAAAATGCAATTGGAAGAAGGTATATCTTTAATTTCCTGAATATTTTCCCAACATACAGAGAGAGAGAAAGAGAGAGAGAGAGAGAGAGAGAGAGAGAGAGAGAGAGAGAGAGAGAGAGAGAGAGAGAGAGAGAGAGAGAGAGAGAGAGAGAGAGAGAGAGAGAGAGAGAGAGAGAGAGAGAGAGAGAGAGAGAGAGAGAGAGAGAGAGAGAGATTGTTACCAGAGAGATACTGGGTAGACAATGGATTGCTGGTACTTGAGGAGAAGAAACAGGAAGTATCGTGAGCTTGACACGTATTGCTATGTAATTTAATAGAATTTACGTGCAAATTAGTTTTGACTATTTAAAATATACATACAAAGCAGACACCTGTACAACAGGCTAGTGTGTAACACACAAAGCAGAAACCTGTACAACAGACTAGTGTGTAACACACAAAGCAGACCTGTACAACAGGCTAGTGTGTAACACACAAAGCAGACACCTGTACAACAGACTAGTGTGTAACACACAAAGCAGAAACCTGTACAACAGACTAGTGTGTAACATACAAACAGAAACCTGTACAACAGGCTAGTGAGTAACACACAAAGCAGACACCTGTACAACAGACTAGTGTGTAACACACAAAGCAGAAACCTGTACAACAGACTAGTGTGTAACACACAAAGCAGAAACCTGTACAACAGGCTAGTGTGTAACATACAAAGCAGACACCTGTACAACAGGCTAGTGTGTAACACACAAAGCAGACACCTGTACAACAGACTAGTGTGTAACACACAAAGCAGAAACCTGTACAACAGACTAGTGTGTAACACACAAAGCAGAAACCTGTACAACAGGCTAGTGTGTAACACACAAAGCAGACACCTGTACAACAGACTAGTGTGTAACACACAAAGCAGAAACCTGTACAACAGGCTAGTGTGTAACATACAAACAGAAACCTGTACAACAGGCTAGTGTGT